GACATTTAGTTTCGTTCTATCGCACAGTGTGTTCACAAATTTGCTGGTCTGCCAGATAACTATGTCATCTGCATATGCAATTATGTAGAATCCATTATTGTTGAGGTGAATAATCAGGGAACATAATTGTTAGAATGGGGAAACGCAATAATCCTATGAGACTGCCGTGTCGCATGAACCGGAGGACAACTCAGGCCGCCTTCAACCTATAGGCCTTATTTTGGAGAGCCATAGTAGCTGTTCTGGTCATGTCGTTGATTCAGGCAGAATGGTCACTTCTATGCCTCTCCAGCAAAAACTATTCCGAAAGATTCAAATACACCTTTAAGCATTGTCGTTTATAATGGTTTCTGTCCCTACTTTCAGGCGAATAAAAGTTTATTTTTGGAAGAATGGACTGTAATTCGGGGACAAACGAAGCAATGTGAAACACCTGTACCTTGAATGATCCATAATTTTTGTAATCTTTTGAGTTTTGTGACATACTGAATTTTTTGCAGGACGCTTTGGTATTTGCTGGTCGTGAACTAGAATTGCAGTTCCGGATGTCAAGGCAGCTCACAGACTTTATGGCGACACTGCACAAAAATGGCGTAGAAGAGAAACGGCTGTCCAAGTTCGTCTCGCACACCATTCTAGACGATATAGTCACGTTTAATATCAGCTTTCCGGAAGAGGGACAATACGGGCTGGATATTTACACTAGGGAAATGGCTTCGGTATTGGATACGACAGGGGAAAAGCATCTTCTCACACACTGTTGCAAATATTTAATAAATTCGTCCAAGAGGAATTAGCTGTAGGGAGGTATCGAGGCGGATTCAAAGCGGGTTGGTTCTGGTGCACAGTTTGTATAACGAAGAGTTCATCTGAGGAAAAACGTCTGCGAAAACTAATGCAGCAACGTTTGGAATTTCACCAGACTATATTAATTTTGAGGTTATCTGAAGCAGTACTCAACATGATTTTTATATCAAAACGATTTACTGGGAAGAAAAAACAACTGTTCGAGATATTATGGCCGTGAATTCGTATCAAATTAATTTTTTTTCGGGGGTTAAAATGTTTGAATGTTTTCTAGGGAAAATTGCGTCACCGTTTTCTTGATTTTATCATTCTTAAGTGATGCAAAAAGTTCACTGATATTCAAGATTAATAGTTTTTTTTGCCTTCTTTGCTTTCTTTAGAGCCAAATCTTCCCATTTAGTCCATCGTATGACTGCTCTTTCATCTCGGGTGTCCATACATCGTGCATGGTAATAAATTGGTATACAATATTTTCGGATTTCGTATTATATTTCCTCTAGTGTTTGGGTCTGGATTGTAGATTTACAAGTAAGTGATTTTTCAAGAGGTATAGGATTTGATTTTCAAAAAAACACAAGAAATTTAAAAAAATTGATGAAATCTTTATTACAATCGATGGAACGATCAATATTATTCAATGTTTGAAGATGATTTCATACAAATGTCCGCGGCTCCGCTTTAGATGGTCCATGTGTAAGGTCCAATTTTGGCACACTCTCAAATAATCCAAATGCGTTAAATCACGCGATCTTGGTCTTGTTGAAACCACATGTCAGGCATGTCCAATTCTTCCATTTTAGGCAACAATAAGTCGTCAATCATCACACGGTAGCGCTCGCCATTCACAGTAACGTTCCGGCCATTGTCGTCTTTGAAAAAGTACGGCCCGATGATACTACCGACCCATAATCTACAACAAACATGACTTTTTCGGGATGCATCGGTAGCTCTTGCAATGCTTGTGGCTGGTGTTCACTCCAAATGCGTCAATTTTGCTTGTTAACGTATCCATTCAACCAGAAATGAGTCTCGTCGCTGAACACAATTTTTCGATAAAAATGCTGATCTTTCTCCAACTTTGCCAGCGACCATTCACCAAATGTTAGACGTTGTGAGAGGTCGTATGGCTTCAATTCTCGCACCAGCTGTATCTTATAAGGTTTTACACCCAAATCCTTTCCCAAAATTTTCCACGTAGTGGAGTAGCAGAGGCCCAATTGCTCTGAACGGCGGCGAATCGACATTTCACGGTCATCACGAACACTGGCGGATACAGCCGCAATATTTTCTTCGGTCCTCACTCTACGTATGCGTGTTGGTGGTTTAATGTCCAATAATGTAAAGTGGGTTCGAAATTTAGTCACAAGCTTCCGAATAGCTCCCTCAGTAGGCCGACGAAACTGCCCATAACTTGGAAGAAGTGCACGATGCACTTTCTACACCGAGCATGAATTTTGATGATAAAATTCAATAATTTGCAAGCACTGTTCATTCGTAACTCGATTCATGGTTAAATTATAGACCAAACTGAACAAGTTTGACAATGACACAAGACACGATTCACGAGTGATCTGTCAAAAACAGTGTTGCCAAAAAGATACCAGCAAAAATCACACATTACCTACAAAACTAGTTGTTGCAGAATACACAAGTACCTATACATTATGATGTTCTACAGGCAAATATTTTCTAACCACCTCTGACACCAATTGCTGCTTGTAAATCCCACACCTGACATCAAATTCATAAAATTATTTCACGACAGTAATCCAATATCTAAACACGGAATTTTATTTTCAATTCAAAGACAATGTTCACTCTTGTAGTGAGATTCTAATAATGGAAAACCCTTTGGGTTCCTTGTTAGCTGAAAATTTTCATGGACAACCTAGAGATTAAAATCCATACCAATGGATTCATTAACAATTTTTCATACTGGTACAAATATGTAGATATGAAATAGCCAGTACATTTTGACATAGAGATCATGTTGAATAATGACTCAGAGCGGCCTCATACGAACACAAATAATATTTAGTAATACCACAGAATTCCTCGTAATTAAATTGTAATATTTTGATTATTAGAGAGGGGTTCCGCTTTTCTTATACCTAAATGCGAACCCAAGTCTTCCCGTTACCATTTGGATCCAACAACGACTAATGATGGTGCTCACATTTTAACGAAGTTTACTGTATAATTTTCCCAAAGGAGTAAGATTCGTTTAGCTGGATAAGTAAAAGAAACAGGCCCTAACACTTGCCCTCACATGAAATGTTTCATTGAACGATCAATTTTTGAACAAGTGCAATAACAAAATTGATGAAATATTTTTATACAGGAGAATTACCAACATTTATATTTTTACGATTGTTATTAATTGATATAATGAAGCTATGTTATTGAATTTTTTATATGGTTGTTAATATTTAATATATTTAAATAAAAATTGAAATTGACAAAGTAACAGTTGGCATTAATATGCCGTGTTCATATTAAAACCTGTATGTGTAATTAAAACTGAGATATTCAATAAAGAATGTATTTATTTGTATATTTTTTGGTTTTTTGTCTGATATCATTCATTGTATCACAAAGATATGATTAGGGTTGATCATAACACTTTGAAAAACATCCAAAGCTCTAGAGCTATATGCTGCCTGTTTAAAAAATGATGTGAATTTTAATTTCTCACAAAAAATATTCATATAGTCATCAATTTCTATTTTGCCCATTCAAAGTAGTCCCCCTCATATATAACACACTTGTGCCAGCGTTTTTCCAAACCTCTAACCAGTTCTGATATGCAATTTTTGGAATATTCTTGAGGTCTCAGTGATTTGGTTTTCATCTCCTCAATTGTTGCAAAACGCCGTCTTTCATGGATCTCTTTAATCATGGGAACGGGAAAAAGTCGCATAGGACCAAATCTGGTGAATACGGTGGCTGAAGCATGATTGTGGTGTTGTTACGTAGTGCTGATACACAACGTCACGGTAATCGAAGAAAACAGTGAGCAAAACCTCAACATTCGATCAAACTTGATTTTAATTACAATTTTTGGAAGTCAGGATATTTTTACTGGATAATTGAGGTAATCAGTAAATGATAAAGTTATAGAAATGAATCAAAAAAGATGTTCAGTATATATTTGATTTGAACTAATATTTGGCCTAGTCATGATTCTTGAGATTAATTGATAAGTGGTCTACATATGTTCCGTATCCTCACACTAGTTCTAGCAGGCTAAATGCGTCGTTATTCAACAAGTATGTAGCTTCTTTTAACTTTCTGTTGAATTACTGTTCCTCCTTGGTGTTGTTTTTTTTTTTGGAGTTGCATACTGCGATTGGACGGATGGTATTCCTGGATCTTAAGCCTCTTCTGCTTTTATACTCCAAAATCTGTATTGACGAACACAAGAAAAGCACCCGTCAGGACGAAACCAGCAAATCGGGAATAGCGAAGCACGTTTGTACTCACTAACATAACATCAAGTGGTTGGAAGCTGAAATCATCCCCAATACGAAACACTGGGTCAAGAGATAGTTCAAAGAAGCTGGGTTTATGTCGAACAACAACACATTCAGCCAGGATAGTGTGGAGATACGCAACATAAGAATACCTCTGATGCAGCAGAAAACTGTTCAATCAGTTGCACCGAGCCATAAACCAAGAGGAGACAGGGGAGAGGCCAAATATCACCTGGGATCAATCAGCCGTATATTGTTTAGAAAAATGACTATTGATATTTTTCGATTCCGAAGAGGGAGCCTGAAAATCAGCTACCAAGCCCGAGGCAGCAGGCGCGCAAAGGAGGGTTACAAATAAGGCAGCAAGTCGGCATGTTAATAAAAAAATACTTTTCTCAAATGAAGAAATACATGTACATGTACAGCGCCATCTGCCCGTGAATAGATCAAGCAATAATGACGATAATTCTGTCAAGTACAGATCCCGAACTTAGAGTTACAAACAAACAAAGATACATACAGTTAAAGCTAATATAAAGCCTGTAATAAAAAAGGGCAAAACTTTTGAAACAACCTTATAATTTGAATAGAAAGGGGTATATTTTTAGGAGA